TTGGGGGAGGATTTCCCGCAGCAGGGCCTAGCCCAACTCCACTCCTTTCCTGGGCAAACAGCGCCCACCTCCGGCTCTGGCGGCGAGGCCTGTCCCCACGGTGGACACAGCGGGAGAGAAACTGGCTCCTGCCAACCCAGAGGAGGGGACACAGGTGTGGGGGGCGGGAGGAGGGGAGGCGGCGCCGCCTGCGACCCCGAGAGGGCGCGAGCGCGAACCGCGGCGGGCGCGGTGCCGGACTGCGCTGGGAGAGGGAGGCAGACTGGCCCGGGCAGCCCGGCGCCTCCCCGGCCGCCGGCGGCGAGGAAAACTCCAACCGACTGGAGATCCACCGACGCGGGTCCCCGGCACGCGGGCACGCCCACCTGCGAACCCCGCAGAGACAAAGCCGGCCCGAGGCACACACACCTGCGCGCACAGCCGCGCCCGCTTGGAGCCACACGCGCCCATCACGCAGAAAGGGCGCTGTACAACCAACGTCGCAACGCACCCTGGCAAGGAGCCCAGCTCGCCGCGCTCCCGGGCTCCCCCGGACAGCCCCGCAGCGCCAGGCTCCCATGGCATCCGGGGGAACCACGCGGCCACCGGGGTGCACCGGTGGCGGGGGCGGGCAGACCCACAACCGCAGCTGCTGCGCAGCCTCACAGGCCCTAGGCGCTGATGGCCACTCACCTTCCTGCACCGCCTGGAACGGGTTGTTGGCCTCGATGACCTTGATGGAGTAGGTGATCTTCTCGCTCTGCAGGATGTCATCGTTGAGGCTCAGGTCGGACACAGCCAACTGGAACACCCTGTCGTCCTTGGCTGCGTTCTCCTCGAAAATGGCTCCTGGGGAAGAAGGGAGAGGTCAAGACGAGCCAGGAGAGGGGTCTTCTCCCCATTCCCTAGGCTCTTGGGTCACAGTGCAAACAGCACCACTGCTCTCCAGGTGGCAGGAGGACTGGGTTGGGATGCCAGCTTGGTGGGTGCATGTGCATACAGTTGACAGGAGTTACACATGCACGCTGCACATGTTGCCACCAGGTCACACACATGTTTCACAGTCACGGCATCACATGTCCAAGCCATCCCCTCCCCACTACCACCACCACCCCCAATGATGGGCCAAGCTGAAGCGGCCTCAGGCAGCACCCCCAACCAAGGAAACAAAGTTCCCTCAGGTGGGCAGTGTCCTCTATAGACTGAATAACTCCCTTCTGTCCTGGGAGTCTCCCGCTGAGTGTTAGAGACCGAAGGCTTTCTGGGCCCACCAGCTTCTCTGCAGCCAGGGGCCTTGGCTGGCCCACAGCTCACTGAGGGGTACAGAGCCCTGAAGCTGGTGGAGGCTACCTTCCCTGACACCCTACCTAACCCCAAGCCAAACTCACTGCCATCGAGTGGATAAGGACTCACAAGGACTCTACAGGTTTCTGAGACTGTAAGTCTTGACTGGTGTAGAACGCTTCATCCCCCCCCCCCCCTCTCTCACTTGCAGGAAAGAAAAAAACAACTCATTGCCCGGGAGTCAATTCCGACTAATCGAGACCCAAAAGAACAGAATAGAACTGCCCCTGTGGGTTTCGGAGAATGCCATGTAGTTCTTTACCCAGAGTAAAACCCCTCGTCTTTCTCCCCGTTCTCGAACGGCCCTTCTAAAATGACTGCTCTTTCAAGGCCCCCGCCAACCGTGATCCTTCAGACTGGCCTGCGTTGTTGGGGAGCCTAGCCCCTGGCCAGGCCGGGAGGGTCCCCTACTGGGGGCTGAGCTGGAGGAGGAGATGCAGGTTCCAAGCTGCATCTTACAGCAGCAGTGCTGACTTGCAGACCCGCGCCCCGCTGGGACAGGAAAACTGATTTGGCCCCAGCAACCTGAAGGGGTGCTTTGGAAACATTTAGGGTAGGCCCAGTCCCTCTCTGCCTGACACCACATCCACCCTGCCTGTCCCTGCCTCCTTACACCTCGCAAGCTCGGCTGCTCTGTGCTGGTCTTTCCTGAACTTGCAGGAACTGCGACTGCGGAAGGGCTTCCCCAAGTCCACCCCTCTCAGCCTTCCAAACAGGTCCAACTTTCTGGGATTGTTCCAGTGCTGTTCCCAACTCTTACCCATTCCCCCACAGAGCGACCTCTCTTCATCTCCTCTCTCTCAGGATCTCTTTCCATCCTTCCCTTCCCGCTCATTGCCCTTCCCCCACCGCCCACGCTGCTTCTTTGGTTCCTGTCGCCTGGACCGCCTGCAGGCCCCAACACTTGGACCACGGGAAACTCTGGGACCGTCCAGGATGGAACTGCAGTCGCCACAGGAGAGGCACACGCGCGCGCACGCGTGAGCACACACACACACACACCGAAAGCTACACAGACACAAACCAGGGAAACAAGTAGATACTGTGTCTACTCTAACAGGCTGACAGTCGTCCACGCACCGACACAAGCTCAGATGGCCCCACACACCTCAACACCCTTTCGCAGTGACACTAACACGCTTCCAGGCGCGCGCACAGCAACACTTGCTGATAACACCCACCCGCCCACACTCGCACACGGCTCGGGTCCGACCTCTGATCCTTCCAGGACAACTTGGCGACCCAGAGGGCCATGTCATTCACCCACCCCCCTACCCCCTCTGCTGCTGTGAGCTACCAAAGCCCACCGACGGCCAGCCTGGGATTTGAGTCTGAAAACGCGTCCAGTCCCAG